ACATTTTGGTCCGCCATAACAGCATCTTCGTTTTGCTTCTCTGTGATTTGTCAAGTACAGGGGGAGGAAAAAATTTTAAGCCTGATATAGAAACACACATTGTATTTTTAAATGACTATATTTATTATTCAAAGTAGTCTCCATGAACACGAATGACACTTTCATATCGATGCTTCAATGCTTCAATTCCTCCTTCAAACCACTCGGCATCTTTGTCCTCCCATACGTTGAAAATATCGTTCGATATCTCTTCTTCGGACTCATATTGCTTCCCCTTTAGATATCTTTTGGTGTTTGGGAACAGGAAATAGTCGCTGGGTGCCAGATCTGGAGAATACGGTGGATGGTGGAGTTGTTCGAACCCACATTCCCTGATGGCAGCTTGTGCAAGCAATGATTTGTGAGGCGGTGCATTGTCATGCAAAAGAAGAACTTTTCGAGTGAGCAAACCAGGACGCTTTTCTCTGATCGCTTTACGCAATCTATGCATTTGTTGAGCATAATAATAGCCCGTGACTGTGGTATTCTTTGGAAGGAATTCAACCAATAATATGCCTTTGGAATCCCAGAATACAGAGGCCATTACTTTGTTTGTGGCAATTTGTTTGCGTGACACTTTCGATGCTGGTTCACCACGTTTGTGCCATTCCATCGTCTGTGATTTGAGCTCTGGATCATAGTAGTGGATCCAGGAATCGTCGCCAGGCACTATTCGCTCAAATGTGTCCGTTTCATTCCATTCCAACAACTCGAGAAACTCGTGTGCAGCAGCAATTCGTTCTTCTTTTTGTGATTTGTTCAACGTTCTTGGAATCCATCGTAAGCAAACCTTTCTCATGTGCAATTTTTCATGAAGTATGTTGTAAATACTCTTCTCTGAGATGTCAAACATTGCTGCTAACACTTTCTTGCTCATTCGAGGATTTTCGTGCACGTGATGTTCAAATTTTTGCACTACAACTGAAGCTGTTGTATGAGGATCATCTTACAATGATTCTCTACCCCACTTGAATTGTTTTGCCCATAGTTTTACTGTGGCATACGATGGGGCAAGGACCCCATAAACAGCACGCAATCGATCATTGATATCCTTTGGTGTCACACCTTCTTTTGTGAGAAACTTAATCACCATATTAACATATTCGATTTTATCCATTTTTTCAAAAATATCGAGGTTACTTGGTATGCAATGCTGTTGAAAACAAACGACGACAGATATCAACTCAATTTTTTTCTGCAATACTATTGACAGTTCGTACTTCAATTACAGCTCAAGAACAATTTGTATCTAGTGCCGTCTATATGTCAGGCTTAAAATTTTTTCCTCCCCTGTAAAACGAAGATGCTGTCATGGCGGACCAAAATGCTACAATGGAGACCAACTAAGTTTCTTTTTGCATTTTTACGGTAGGTGTCGCATTGTCATTACTATTTACATTGGATTCTTATTTAATCGATGAAACATTTTTTGTTGAAATTATTGTCATTTATAAACAAATTAATTTTTTTATAAAAAAAAAATTTTAATAAATTTTTTAATGAAAAATGTTAGAAAAATATTTTATGACATGTTTTTTTTCAACGATTCAATAATTATGAATGTGTATGCATTTTAAATGAAGAGCTTATATATTGTCAAGCCAAAAAAGTATTATTGTGAAATGACAGAGTGACATTTACATCAGCGCCGTATATCGAATTAATTTCGCTTGGCATAGGGGGAAATATTTTGACAGATAGTACTCGATCCTTTGAGGTCTCATAAAAGAATCCATGTTCCTGAATTGCCATTTGCATGCTCAAAGTGTCGTCGTGGATTTTCCGAAAGAGATGATAAAATCAGTCATGAAACCAAATGCAATGGTCGTCAGTACAAGTGCTACTTGTGCAAATTTACCACTCTGTATTTGATACATTTAAAAGTCCACATGAGAATCCACTGTGGTGAGAAACCATTCGCATGCCGCGTCTGTTCGAAGGCATTTGTTAGGCTAATTGAATTGAAGATGCATTCACGCACTCACCGCCAACAACTTCCATTCGACTGTTCCAAATGTGGTCAACGATTCGCTGCTGAAGACGAAAAACAAGTGCATGAAAATAAATGCAAGCATCGTCGATTCGAATGTCATATCTGCCAGATATTCAAATGTTTCCAAAAATGTAATTTGAAACTGCACATGCAAGTCCATCACACTGGCCAAAAATCATTTGAATGCGGTATTTGTGAAAAGAAGTTTTTTCGAAAGTTTGATCTGAAGAAACATTTGGCGACACATGCCAAACAACGTCCGTTCCGTTGCGCCAAATGTCAGCGGCCGTTTAAACAAGAAGTTGATAAGAAGGCACATGAGATTGGCTGCAACCGTCGCCACTATCAATGTTATGTTTGCAAAGTATTAGTGCGATTCGTAACGCAATTGAAAGGCCACATGTGCACGCATCACACCGGCGAAAAACCATTTTCATGCGAATTGTGTGGTGCACGTTTTATATTGAAAGGCAACGCTAATCGTCACATGAAAAATATTCATTATAAAAAGAAGTAAACTAAATAAAAATTAGAATCATTGTTCACCAAGTTCGGCGCGCATCAATTACCTTCAAAATGTTTTCGAATGAAAATGAATTTTAATAAATGAATCTATTGAAACCATGAAAAAAACATTGTATTTTATCTATTTTTCTTTATCTTTCCACAGTAAAAATGTTGTATTTTATCCAGATTGTTGTTTTATAAGAGAGTTCATCTTTACATATTTCAATTTGATTGAAATTAAGTAACCCATTATTTTCTCTGCAGTCCAACGAGGATGTTTTGAAAGTAATTCAACCATTTTAAGCCAAATAAGAAAGTATACACTCTTTGAGGTTTGGATTTGCTAAGGTTTTGTGAACCACTCCATGTAATTAATTTTGATCCGAGTGGAATCAAAGATCCTAGCAAAAATACCTTATTAGAATGGTGCTTTGGAAAATTCTTTCAATTTGCTAGCAGTTTTGGTGAAAAAATTATGGTCCTTTGTCCGTCGTCAAATTTTCCCAAAAGTTTACTCTATATAAAATTGAGTTTTAAAGATTACCCCCTACGAATCTGACATCACACACTGCTGAAAACTTATCAGATAAGAACTCTATCAGAATAATTTGTGATACACTCCATATCAGCGCGTGACTTTAGCTGTTTGAATTAATTCAGCTGGCTGGAAATATCACAATAATATCTGATCTCATCAAACTGCATCTGGACACGACTATTGCCAGTCGAACCTTTTTTTGAGTTTTTTTTTCTTCATACATTTTATTTTCCTTATTTTTAATATTTAACGAGAAACGTCTTTTAAATTGATTTGAAATTTGTGAACGAAAAAAAAGTACACCAAGCGACACCAAGTATCGAGTGGCACCAATGTTACTTTTCCGCACACACCTAGTGTGAAAGGGGAAAGTATTGCAATAGGTCAAAATTTACGAAACCTCAAAAACATGTTATCTGGACGTTTCTGAGGTCAGAGAACCCGAATCAGGCCGTTTTGAGCATGGTTGTTGTGGGTCGCTTCCACGTCGTACGTCGTACGTCGTACGTTGTCCGCCGTACGCAAAATTTGTCCATCGATTTTCTCACCACCCAGAAAAGTTATTTGAAATCTGACTTCACGGGATGATTGGGGGTCCCCAGGAATAGAAATCATCAGATTTTGAGCGACTTTGGTTGATGGAAAAAAATTCCATGCCTGGAGTGATACCTATGAAAAAGAGTCCAATTTTCGTCCAAAAGTCATACTTAATGTAGACTTAAACACTCAAAAATATGTATTGGGGGGTTTTTTGGCACGAAAAACCCGAATCCGACGTTAGTTTTGAGATACAATCAATTTTTAATACAGTTTCCTTGAAAAAATCACAGAAAATTTGGATTTTTGTATGGGAGCCATGCCTGTATGCTACCTTAGTGACGTGAAACTTTGCACAGACTATTTTTTACACAAAAGAGATTTCAATTAAAATTAGGGGTACCTCCCATACAAAATTTTCAATTGGCTCAAAAACGAATATTTTGTATGGGAGGTACCAACCGGCTAAGCCTATGAAGAGACAGAATGCGTAATCTCCTCATTTATGCCATCTTGTTTTCCATAGTTGAACTCAATTTTGTTGCACTGCATTGAATCGAAAAAGTGAAAAAAAACAACAACAGTAACATGGCCACATAGATCTGTTGACCAGTGAGATACGTATAACAATGGAATGAAAGAATGAAGAAAGCGTATATGTGTATGTATGCATCAGCACGCATAGATGTACAGCTCTGTGTGGCCGTGCTATTGTTGTTGTTTTTTCTCTTTTTCATTTCAATACTACAGAATTAAATTCAGTTTTTCGATCTAATTCGAACTAATGTGAGGTGGCGCTGATCAGCTGCGTTCGCATAAAAAAGTTCCCAATCTCATATACGCCATTCCCGCTTGGGAGGTACTCTTAATTTTAGTTGAAATTTCTCCAAACCCTCCGAATGTTATTTGTAAAAAAAATAACCTGTGCAAAGTTTCACGCCATTAAGGTAGAATACAGACATGGCTCCCATACAAAAATCCAAATTTTTTGTGACATTAGTTATGAAAAGTGTTTCAAAAATAATCTTTATGGCAAAATTAACGTCAGATATATTTTTATAGTATTTTGTTAGAAAATAGAACACTTTCAAATGTCGTACAAATGGTTTCATCATGAAAGTGTGAAAAATCTTTTCTCGGGTACTTCTGCTATTAAATTAAAGAATAGAATATAAGTTGAAACATATTTTTTGGTCTCGAATTTTACGCCGCTTGAAAGACTTGAAAAATCGAACAAATATTATTTTGAACTTTCTTAATAAAATACGCAACTACCACCGTGCGGAAAAGTTCGTCTTACTCTCGTAAGACTCTTTATTGTGTAATATAACCTCAAATGTCAAACATTGCGCTTTTTTATTGCACTTGTTTGTTTCATATCGTTTAATTCTGTCAACATCGATTGTGGTTAGAGTAAAATTGAAAATAAGTCCAATTTAGTACGCATTGTAAATCTTTCAATTATCGTTCGATAATTAAAGATCCATCAAAAGACGGACTGTTGGATTTATTGAAAAGATTCCACACCATCGAATTTTCCATCATTCACAGCATTTGCTTTATAGGAACCACATTTGTTAGTGTAAGTACCCGTAATGTCCTTCGTCACAATTCTATTTTGCTAAACAGTTTTCCACAGATTACGTAAAGCAGAAAAAGTATTAACAATCCCTTAAAAAGCAATTTAATATTTTTCCATCCCTTCTTTATACATAACAGGTACTGTTGCAATATGAAAAGGCGTTCTCAAGTCCGTATTCATGATGAGCCAAAAAAACTGATAAAATTGTCCCAAAATTCCGCTAAAAATGGAGAAAAATCGGCAGTGAAGGATGAACCCCTGAATCTAACTGATCTGGACGACTATTGCTTGGAAGTTATCTTCAAGTACCTGCCATTGGTCGATTTATTGAACATCGCTCAGTCGAATGAACGTTTTGTGGCAGAGGCACGTTTGTCAGCAAGGCGATTGTTTCGTGAAAAAACGGTTAAAATCAACACTTCAAGCATCGAGATCGTTGAACAACTACACGAATGGAATTGTGTTGAAAATGTCTACGATAAAATTTGCTTCAAAGAAAATCCAATGCAAACAATTTCAATGTTTTTCAAAAATTTTGGTAATGCTATTACCGACTTGAAGGTTGTGAATAAATTCCAAATTGATGATGACACAACACTCGGCCAATTCATCGACACGTACCTAAAGCAACTGGAGCACTTCAAGCTGCAGTGTCACTTGGATCAAATGCAGTCGAAACTTGAATCGGAAATGGTCGACAGTGAAATCATTCAGAACATCAAGAAGCTGATGACGTACAGTGTGCCACGCATCCAGTTCACCAGTCTTCTGCAATTGGAATTAATTCAAGTGGTGAACACCGTCGATTTGAACGAGATAGTCGATTTTATTTGCCAAAATCCGGGTTTGGTTCAATTGACGATGAAATATGCTGACTGGAGCCGATATCAATTTTCCGATGAACATATTTCGAAGATTATCGACAGTTTGCCAAATTTATCGGAATTGTCACTCGAACATGATACGATGTCTGCTCGAGGTGTTGAATATATTCTGACCAATTCGAAGTCACTCAAAAAACTCCGATTGTTTGTCTACTGCAAAGTAATCGGCTATGATTATTATGACGACTATTTGTTTGCCAACATTGGCACCGATTGGAAGGTCACTTTGGAACTTTTTGACGAATTTATTTACAGACTGGAATTTAATCGTACAGATTAATAAAAAAAACTTGAAAATGGACAAAAAATTGACGCACCGACTAAGAAATATAGTATAGATACTTATATTCGGTAATGTATCACCGAAAAAAAACAAGTTAATCAGTTTGAATGAATGACATATACGGTTTACAGTTGGAATTTTGAATTTTCCATTAAAAAAAATTACTGTAAATTTCCAGTTTGAATTATTGGAGTTGTTTATTTTCTATTTGGTTTATTACAAATAAAAATTTAATCTATAAAAATTCCAATTTAATGTCTTTTAATTTTAATATTAATGTTTTTCTCAACAGTGGTCGATTCGGCCAAAAACAATCAATGTGTTCGTCGATATTTGCGAAGCCTTGCCTCCACTTCGTCATGCGGTTCCAAATTTCGTTTGGTCTTCACTTTAAATTGTTTCTCCTTCTCCTCATTGACCCAATTCAGCAGTTCCTGTTTTGACAGCATAGTATGGTGTCGGTCACCTTTTTCAGACTTCACCAAAAGACCTGTGTCACACAAGTGAAACATTTGAATGACGCCCATTTTTTTATAGTGTTTGGCAATTTTCAGCATTTTCCCATAAAATCGTGTCGTATGCAAATTAACGAATACCCGTGTGGATGGCATTCGAGCGGGCAACGTTATAACGTCCGACGACCAAAGATCGTTGTACTTAAAACATCGTTTTATATTCGCCTTTGCCGTCCATGTTTTCAATTTTATAATAATCGGCTTCTGTGGTCCGGCTGTTCGAAAAATCTTCGATACATCACGTTGTGTTACCGGTGCCCCTAATTTTTCGCACATTTTATCGAAGATGGTCCACAAATTTTCATTACGAAAGCGTGGAATGCCAGTGATTGACAAATTATTGACCAATTCATTTTGTTTACGGAGTTCAGCATACAGTTCAGCCTGAGACAATGGCGTTCGTGATGCGACCGATGAAACGGACGGTGAAAAGGAAAACGACGATTCGGTCGATAATTCTGATGAAAATGTATCGCTGTCGCTTTCGGAGCTTGAACTTGTGATGCCCGTTTGATTGGTTCTCTTTTCCTTTTTGTGACAGTAAAGCATTAACTTTTTCCTTCAGCTCTTCGAGAACGGCTCCTAATTTTGGTGACTCATCGAATCTGGTGCCCTTCAAATTGAAATTCGATAACATCAACCCGTTGTTAAAGATGGTCTTTGATTTCCAATGCACTTCCTTCAAATGACGACCGAACTCTTTACTTTCAACCATGACCTTATCGATGTTATGCGCTGTTTTGCCATGATTCAAGAGCTCGGTCGCAATATTTGTTCGGAAATCACAGTCAGTGCATTTAAAATTGAACGAATGCTCTTCCAAATGATTGAAGTAATCCTCTTTGCTGAACATCTGACTGCAATCATTACATTGTATGTCTACCGTTTTTTGATCAGACAATTGCTTTTGAAACATTTCCATACCTGAATGCTCCATCAAATGATGGTGATCGAATTCATGGTGCGTTTCGAAAACTACATTGCAATGGCCACATTCCACCTTTTTATGAATGTCAATTTTTAGGAGCATGTCCAAAACATCATCGGTCACTTGAAATGGATTTGGAATGACGACTTTGTGGGTCTGTTCGAAGTGGTCAGCCAAGTCTTCGGAGTGATCACAAAGGGCACACTGATGCCGAATCGATTCATTGACGATAATGCGTGAATTGTTTGGATGACTTGTGATTTGATGTTGAATCACTTCGTGGAATGGACCGAGCTGATCGCAAAAGTGACAAGCCACCAACTGTGTCACGTAGAACTGAAAGGGACGAACGTTCGGAAGATCAGTGTGAGCGGATAACCAATGACCATAGATGGTTTCAATGTTATCGCTGCAAGTATCGGGTGATAGCGATTTGGACTTTTCACAATGTACGCAAGCGAATTTGAGAGTACATGGATGGAGCTTGACGGTGACTGTGGGGGGTAGAAAAAAATAGTGACTTTACTAACTAAAGAATTGACGAAGGAATCGAAGCACCTTACCTCCGTCATCAACTGCTGGCAAATCAGTAGGTGACTTTACTTCAGTCTTTTTTAGCGAACTTTTTCCATCCATCTCGCGGAAGCTACTTTTGTCCATCTCACGAGAGACACCTTTGTCAATCTTTCGTGAGCCACTATCTCCCGACTTTCCTGACCTATTTTCAGCCTCTATTTGGTGAGAACCACTTTTGTCCATCTCACGAGAGACACTTTCACCCGACTTCCGTTTTCTATTGGAACTTTGGTCACGTCTTTCTTTTGAAATTCGCATATCGGATGCTGCTGACTTTGTCGATTTTGATGTTCTTGACGTCGACGGCCTGTCCAAAGAATATGTCTCTGATTTTGACCTACATCGTCCTTCATCTCGTGAATGACTTTCATCAGTTTTACGTTTTCTTGAACCCCATTCAGATGTTCCACGTTCCAATTTATCAAACGCCTTGGCAATGCTGGTTAATTTGGAAAAGGCAGATAGAAAAAATCAGTTATGTCACCACTCACCACCATTGTCCACAAATTTCGACCGAAAATGAAGTAATTACCGCGTATTAGTTATGCCAAGGAACATTTTTCGAAATTTTTCGCCTTTGGGCAAACCGGTATGATCACACTCCCTCTTGATCCGCAACAGTGAGTCACTTGAATACTGCTCGATCTTCTTCATAAGCACATCCAATTCACGTTTCCAACTTTCGTTACTCATTTTTGCTTCGATGGATTTCGACTGATGGGAAGGTATTTGCTTAAATTGACTAACAAAGAAAGAAAATAAATTACAAACACACTACTGACAATCGCACTGTGTCACAAAAATCGGTTTTCCAAACTAATATTTTTTTTAGACATAACGAGTATTTTGAACGACTTTTGCGTATATAGAAAAGAGAAAGCCTACTTGTTTGTTGTTTTTAAAGTACGCTCGGTTTCATTCTGGAAAATTATTTTGCCAAAATCTGGACTAGCAAACAAATGACTGTGTTCAGAACACTTATGTCTCTTCTTTATGTTCACCGAAAATGTATCTCTTATTATCGTTACGAAACTTGTGAGTGCGCAACTAAATGTTGCTTCATGGAAACCGTATTTTCGATCTTATTTTTTAAAAATTAACACTTTGCACACTCCCTATGTTGTTGTTGTTGTTTTTTTTTTTTTCAACACAAAAACTTACCCAAATTCGGCGGCCTAACAGAATTCACAATTAACAGCAAATCAATTAATCAAAACATTTTAGCTACTTTCTTCAAAATTGCACCGTCTCCAGACTTTGGAGTGTATAATAAATATTTAGATAAACAGCCGCAAAAATTTTTTTTATTAAATTTTCTATAAACTGAATAAAAACACCGTTTTGTCGATGACAATTGACAGAAAGTGTATTATAAACGTCAATATATGAGCAGCATTGTTTGTGATGATGACGCGTTGTGCACACAAACACATACACGCAAATATGGTTTTATATTGTACTAACACAAATATTGCTCGAGCGGTTGAGAGACGCTTTGAATGAAAGTGGCGACACGCCAAGAAGTAGCACTCACCCGTTGATGCTGAACAGAGATGCACAATGAGTTGATTGAAATGGAGTTTTTATGAGCCAACGTTTCGCCGTATACGCTTTTGGTTGTGTGTTAGTAACTCTGCTTAGTTTGCATTACATTTTTTATTGCATTTGGCTGATTTGACACTTTCTCTGGTTGGTATTGTGGCTATTTTAGAATTTGCTCAATAAATTCCTGATTAGTCTGTAAAATTTGTGTGTCGGTGGAAAAATGGATGATTTATTCAAGTGTATTTGCGATTTTGGTGAAAATCATTATTGGCTTCGCTGTTTTTTGAAACAAGTTGCTTTTTTTATAAAACGTGTTTTGGCCTGTCCAGTATTGTTTCATTCTGGTCACACGCAATATCATGACGATATTATCAAAATCGCCATATGGAAAGATATTGCATACGATTACAAGGGAAAGTTCACACAAAGTAAGTAGAAATTTGGAGACATTGCAAAAAAAATGGAAAAAATGTGGTGAAGGTTTTGGGGATCAAAAGGCAACAACAGCTTCTCCAGTGCCAATAACAGCTCTGGGTCGAAGCTCTCGAAAATGATCAAAATATGGTCTCTTTCTCTGACAGATGATAGTTCTGATGCCGAGTGCGAAGATGTCTGCACCCTTAAAATGGCACAAAAATGCGCCCAGCACCAAGTAATGCGTGTTGTCAAGTGAGTGATCTCTGGTATTCTTTTGTCATGTCATTATTTTTAAAAAATAGTTTCATTTAAAAGGTTGTTGAATTCAAAATCGATGGATCTGCAACGAAATCGATTGGACCTGAACAGTGTTGAACGACAAGAGGTTCGCGACAATGAATTGATCGATTTTTTACATCAAGTCGCATTTATTTTCGAATGCATTTTGGCCAATCCGGTACTGTACGATCGCAAACATGAACATCACCAGAACGAACGATTCAAGTTTAAGACATGGGATGAGATCTGTGCTCTTGTTTATCAAAAAAGTACGTAAGAGACTTTAATCTGTAGTACACAGTATTGTCGACACACGAACACATTAGGCTTACATTCTTCTCAGCACACATATGGTTGACATATGAAGTGTAGTCAATAGGCTTGAAAAGGTCTTTTTCATTTATAGTTGCACCGTGAAATCATACGATTAAATGAGATTTTGTATTTTTTTTATTTAACTTTTATTCCATCAATTTAAATCGACAATTTAAAGCGATTTGAAAAATCATTGAAAAACATGCCATTTATTTAATTTCCGTTTTTTTTTTCGTGCTTAAAAGCATAAGCACAAGCACAAACCGAAATATGTGTGTCTCGGCTATTTTTCATTTTACAGAAATATTTACAGTTCGCCAACTCTTGAATTTCTGTTTCTGAGTATATATTGATTTCGAATGCATATACTAGTGGTCATTCTTATACACCGTATGTCGAATGCCGCGGGCTTTGCTTACAAGTACGTATTCTACCATGGATAGCAGAACGAAGCAGTGCATATGCATATAGCCCACATTACTGACGTAGTGTCAGTAGTACACAGTGAAATTTTTTATTAATATTTTTTATGTTTTATCAAACAGTTCAAAGCGATGGCTTTTGGCTTGGAGACGAGGATACTCGATTCGAGATCAAGCATACCCAGAAAACTATCGAACATCTTTTGTACCGCATCGCCTTGTAAGTATGCCTCTTTATGTATCAAAATTTTTTATTTGGAGTGGAAATTGTGTGATTCTTCTTTTAATATACAGTCCGTTGAACAAGAGCCGCAATGCAGCGCAGGTTTTGAAAAAGATGGCCGCTGATATTCCGCTGAGCTCCGACATGGAGTATAACAGCGATGACAACGATAGTGTCTCTGGACAAAAACACAAACGACCAGTCACGATCAATATTGCACCAAGTACATCTGGATCACAAGCGATCAAAATCATTATATGCAATGGTCTTGATCCGAAGATGAATGAATCGAAGACGGAGCATGATAGCAGTTCAGAAATGGAGTAAGTTATTGAATTTTTGGGAAATTATTTTATTGAAAATATCCGAAAGCTAGCAGCTGATTGAATTTACTGCAGCTGCAGAGTGTTTTGAAGAGCTAATGACAATTAGAAGATAAACCAAAGCCAATGCGAAGCAAACGTGTTTAAATCTCATGTAAACCAACTACAAAGTACCTTTCCTGATGTGTGGAAAAGTAAAAAGTAGTTGCTTGTCCATTTAGTAGTTGAACATTGAAGTTTTGGACATTGGCATTATATTAGTTTCAAAATTACCGCCTTTTTATGGTTTCAGTACAACCGTCGAAGAAAACTCGGTAACAGTTGAACGTGTAGATGGAAACTCTAATTGGAAAGGTCATGCTTCAAAACATGTGTAAGTATCGTCGTTTGAAAAGTCGATTTTTAAATGCCAAAAAAATGATTTTTACTCTCGATATAATTTGAGAATAAAAGAATTATTTTCCTACCTTTTGGTTTAAGCCCCTCGAATATTTGCATCCATATGATATTCAAAATTGGACCAGACATCCATTCTTGCATGCACCAAGTGCCTATTCATTGGGTCCGATTAAAATACTACCGACAAGGAGTACTCACCAACCTTCACATCTGTTCAGCAGAGCAACATATACCATCGTGTAGGGTTAGAACAGACTAACTCCTAGATACATTCAATTTGGGCTTATAACGAGTGACGATTGTTGTGTACTCCTTGTACGGTTTAAATTTATCATCTAGCAAAATGTGAGCTTTAAGAAGAATTCACCCAGTAACATTCATCCTTTCACTCTAACTCATATGAGCTCAGCGCACACTATACATTTTATTTGGCTCTATCAGTACAAGGCCTCACTGCGCCCCCATCAAATAACATCATGATTTTTAAACGTACTATCTTTAAGCTCATGAATTTAATTTTCCATTATATATTTTCTCAGGGTCGATAAGGAGCGAAGCCATGATGACCATGATGAGACCATGAAGCGAAAACATTCGGAAAATGAAAGTTATCATGAACATAGCCCAGCGTGAGCATTACAAACATGATTTATTTGAGTTTTTCCTTTCATTATTTTGTTTCGTTTCGAATAGAGTTGAGCCGAGTCAACGTAAAAAACACAAGTCGAATGTCAGTTCGACAGTCAAAGCTCCAGATCGTTTCAAGTCAATCATTCAGAAGAAAGACGAAGCATCGGCTGCTCTGAATAATAACAATCTACGTAGAAAGTAAACGTTTATAACTACCATATAGTCATCACAAACGATAAAATACAAACAAAGTCATTTTGACAATCTCATGTTGAGATCCCACTATTAAAATTTGAATGAAATTGCGCTGTGCTCAAAGTCATTTACATAGATAGCGAAAACCTTTTATTGACTAAATGGTATTCAGTCGACGATTATATGAACCGCTTAAAATAAAATCTGATTGTGTTTGGATATAGCAATATTTTCCTACTGTGGGAAAGATAACTTTAACGATCAAGGGGCAACTTAGTACAAATATTGCCGAAAATACCGGATAGTACCCAACGTAGCAAAAATACCACCGACGAATTTCAAATTGTAGAAAAATGAAGGAAACGAAATGATGGGAGTGTTTGTATGTATCGGTGTTTTTGTGGTTCTTTCGGTACTTCCCGGTATTTCTTTGGTCTCGTCGGTATTTTGGTATTAATTTGCCCCTTGTTAACATGCGACAATAATTTAACCCGACATTATTGGTTTATTTTAAGCGGTTTCCTCTGGCTTAGAGGCTTTCGGTTGTCATATTCTATAGATGACGTATAACATAGAACCCATTTTTCGTCAATAGAATCTCTTTTAGTGAAAATTACATAAAAATAAAATTACTCCAAGTGTCGTTTGATGAACATTGATAAAAATTAAGTAGCATAGTGAACAAACAGTACAATGTTTTTGTATTGATACATGAAAACCAGGGGCTTTTATGTTAAAATGAATACTACGATTTCAGTAAATATTGAAACATAATGCTGAATATTCAATGAATATTGTATGTATATAAAGAATATACACAAATAAATGTGTATAATTGCATAAATTTGATGAATATTTCGTGAATATTTCGTGAATATTTCCTGTATATATGAAATATACATATTTTGTCATTCTCTTTAGTGCGGACTTTCTTCGTTCCTGTGTCGCTTACTGTGAATATTCACAACATACAGTAGAAAATACGAAATATTCACTAGAGATTTATGCCGTATATATGATGAATAAGACGTGTATATTGTGAATATTATGTGAATATTTCGTATATTCATATACATAAAAGCCCCTAGCATGAAAACTAGTTCTATCAGTGTTTTCTGTCCAAAAAGTAATTTTAAAAAAAATAAATTTTCAACTGAACGACCGCAATGTTTTGGTTATCGTTTTTCACTCTGATTTTAATATTTGCTACAACACCTCTCGAAGCAAAATCGAGTGAGAAAATAACAGTGCTGGCATCCCAAATAAAACCATTTGTATGTTATTCTATGAAAATGATGCACTTAAAGGTTTAGATATTGATATGGTTGAAAATTTTGCGAAAAAATTCCGGCTGGAAATCGAGTTCATTGTCACAAATGAAGAACTAAACGCAGTTTTTAATGACGGAAACGATTCAGAATGCCTAATTTGCGCAACGGAAAATGTGTAAGTTGTTTTTGTTTTTAACAAAATGAGCTGACAAGGACACCGGATCCTTGATTCAACAAATTTTTGTGTAAATATGGACATTTTCATCGGTGGCCTAGAGGAAATAAAATATCCGCATTTAGTAGCCTCACATGCATATTACCACAATAGATAGACTTTCGTAATGGTAGGCATTTTAAATCCGCGAGTAAAAAACGTTAAAGAAATTATCGATGGAAATTTTGATTTAGTCGGCAATGGATTTACATTAGATAAATTAACGCAATGGAATGAGGTGAATATTGTTATCATAAGATTTTCAATGAGCCAAGGATAATATTTGTGTATGTCATGATTAAAAAAATTCCGAAAAGATCAAACTCACGCGATTCAAGGTAGTAAATCGGTCCGATGAATATCTTCACCAGCTCAAATGAAATAATAAACTGGCAGTCGCTGCTCTCTTTGAAATGTCATGGTCACACGCACAAATGGGAAATGGTCAATTTAACGCTCGCAGAGATATCTACTGCTTTAATCGTCGGAATAATATCCATGAATATCCACTGAAAATGTTGTCTCGAATGGATTTTCCACTTCTTAATGAACTCAACCGCTTTATACAACATGCAAGTGAATGTGGTTTGGTTGATAAATGGCTGAAAAAGTATCGATCAATTTAAAAGGAACAATTTTATATTCGTTATACCATGGTTCAAGCAGATCATTTTTATGTATTGTGCTTGGTTTGTAGTGTATTTTTGCTGGTAGCATTTTTCACGTTGATTTTTGAACGAATCGTCAATGAAAAAAATGCATAAACGCATGGGGTCAATCACGAGATTCTAGTGAATCTAGTTTTTGATAAGATTTCACTAGAAAACTAGAAAATTCTAGTGCGTGAAGTTGGCTCTCAGTAGTTTTTCATATAAATTATATGGCCTTTGGTGTGATGTTGGCTTCGTTTGTGACGTCATTCTTCGCACTAGATTTACTAGTTTTTCTAGTATTCACTAGCGTGATTCACCCCATGCATAAACGAAATACACCACCAGTCCACCATATTGGCGATTTATTGAAATGTGCATTGATCCATATCGACATCTTTTCCTGCACACATTCGAATGGATTGATCCATAGGAATTCATATGGATATTTAAGGGTGAATTTTATTCGAGGTTTTCTTACTCCACTTGGAAAATTGCGGATTCATTATTGAATTATTTTTGGCAAGAAGTGTGTTTTTAATGCTTGAGTCCAAGGTAATTTGACGTGAAAGCAGTGGCAAACTTGGTTCGTATATTTTAATCATTTTTTCATCAGTTAGGTTTATCAGTTTCTGAAAAATATGGAGTTGGTATGTAACCTTTTGTCGTCAAGAAAAACAATTTGTATGTCGTGTTAATGAAAATTTATGTGCTGAGTGATTTGAGCTAATGTTTTTTTAAATGTCGATAAATTAAAATAGATAACCAATGGAACACTATAAATATGCATTACATTATAATAAAAAACACACTATTTTATCCAAAAAATACGATTTCTATTAGTTGAGTCGGAATACTGGCTGCGGAAGTATATTTTGTTGACAGAATTGTAAAAATGTTTCAGCGTTTAATTTTATTTCTGATTTTTGCGATTATTCTGAATCCTCCGGAGGCGAAGTCCAAAGAAAATTCCTTTCCTTTGAAAAAGGAAGTTGTGCGGAAAAGCAAAATCACAGTGTTGGCATCATATATCAATCCATTCGTATTCTATGAAACTCATTCTCTCAAAGGTCTGGATATTGACATCATTGAAAATTTTGCAAAAATATCCAGTCTAACGATTGATTACATTGTCAAAAATGATACTTTACACGAGAAAAATTTCGATTCAGCCAAAAATTCGTAAGAGTTGTCGTTCTTTTTACCGTCTTTTGAAATTGAAAAATTGAATAATTTCTCTTCCAGTAAAATTGACGTCTCGATTGGTGCCATCAGGGAAAATCCATTGATTCATAACGGTTTCATTGCTTCACGTTCGTATCATCACAACCATTTGACGTGGTGTGTCCAAAGAAGTCAACCGATTCTAAAATGGAAAAATATATTTCACCTCTGTCGAGACCCTTATGTTTGCATTGCTAGCATTGTGACGGCGTCAATATCATTTTTTGTGTTTTATTATCTACAGAAACTTCAGCGACGCATAAAATGGGATTTACTTCGTCTATTTTTCGATGCTTTTGGTGGTGCACTTGGTCTCCCAGTCGCATTTTATGCGGAAAATAACAGTATTCGAATGCATTTAATTTGCTTGTTATTTGCTGCAATCATTTTTTCAACCATTGTCCGTATGTCTCTTGAAAAGATTATCATGTCACCCATTTTAAGTCCACAAATAAAATCGCCGCAAGAAATTATCAATGGCAATTTCGATCTAGTGGGCGATCAATTTACTTTCGAGAAATTGTCGCAATGGAATGAGGTAAATTACTTTTTACGTCTAGTATGTTAATGATGTTAATGACTATAGAGATTTTGTTTCTTTTATAGTTATATCTAGACATACGACAAGATTCTTCTAAATCGATTCAAAGTGGTAAATCGTCCCGATGAATATCTTCACTATCTCAAATGGAATGACAAACTGGCAGTCGCTGTTCCCTATGAGCTCGCACATTCACACACCCAAATGGGAAACGATCAATTTAATGCTCGAAGAGATGTCTACTGCTTCGATCGTTGGAATAATATCTATGAATATCCACTGAAAATATTGGTCCGGGTGGATTTTCCGTTATTGAATGAACTCAATCATTTCATAAAATATGCAAGTGATAGTGGATTGGTTGACAAATGGTTGAGAGAGTATCGATCAAATGGAAGGGAAACATTTCAAATAAGTCATATCAGCTTTGAAACGGAATACCTTTATGTATTATATACTTTATATGGGTTCATGTCACTCGTTGCGTTGGTAACGTTCGTTTTCGAACGAATCGTCTATGAAAAAGTTCGTACACCAAATTCGTCACCATATTGGCTTTTCATTGAAATGTGTATTGATCCATATCGGTATTTTTTCTTGGACTCTTTTGACTGGATTTCGCAGAATTGAAAATGTTTCCTTTTTTATAAATTCAGTCAAGGTCTCAAATCTAAGTTTTTCTAACAATCACCCAATTGTTTATAAATGCAATAAATATTGCATACTTTTTGAGCAGGGGTCCGAGAGGTTCGAATATCATTCTCATCGAGATACTAGGGGGGAGAAACCAAAGAATAAATTACTAATCCAGCTATTCCACTAATCCAAAAACACAAATGTGAAATCGAAACTATTTTTGCTATTCCATGCACTGTTTCGCTATTCCACGCGAATCCATTCACAGGCGTTGCTATTTCATTGCAATTTCTCGATTCTTTACACTAAAAGTCTAATCCTATTCCACGTGTCTGCCCCCTAGTCGAGATATTTGGATTTGAAATTACCCCAGCGTCAAAACGTCCATCGTCCATACAAGCATTTAGTTCTTAGGTCCATACAGAGCTGTTATTGGCACCGGACAAGTGCAGCCACTACTAATCAAGTGCCTCACCTGAAATTACAAGAAAAGTGCCCTCACCTCAGTGGTGTCTAAAACATTTCTGGCTCCAAGGTAGCTTTGAGTCCTCCTTACTGCGCTTTATTAACCTCATGAATTTTGAATGTCCAAACCAAATTTAAGGCCCTTTTCATCTTCAATTTGTTGGGAGACATAAAATGTGCTTTAGACCTCAATTTACATATTGTACCTCTAACTTATTCCACTTAAGTCTTGAACCCTCAGTATGTAGTAACCAGTTTTAACGTGTGATGTCCTAAGCTATGTATTTCTAATGGTGATGAATATTAAGATAAGTAATCCATTAAATAACTTAATCACTTTAATGACATCCATTTGGGCATTGGGCAACAACTAATCACTATGATTCATTACTTATTGTAAACAAACATACATTTTTCTAGTTTTCCACTAGTTTTGTCAGTACTTTCCGTTAATAAAGTGGCAAATAAAATAAGTTCCCTTTGTATATCGAAATGTTTCGGTTTTTATTGTTCACACTGATTTTCGTATGTGGACTTAAGCTTTTTGAGGCAAAATCTGGTCATAAAATCACAGTATTCGCATCCCAAATGAAACCATTCGTTTTTTATGAAAATCAGTTGCTCAAAGGTCTCGATATCGATATGATCGAACATTTTGCGAAAAAATTCCATCGAAATATCGAGTATATTGTCAAGAATGACACATTAAATACGGCAGAAGACGGTAAAAGATCAGCGAATAACCCGTAAGTTTTTTGCAATTTGAATGACAAGTAGATATTTCAAAAGATTGTGTGTGTGAATTCGCAAATAACCCTTTCCAAATCTATTTTACAGTAAAATCGACATTTTCATCGGACCCATGGAAGAAAAATTGATAAACTGTAGTCGTTTAACTGCATCTCGACAATATTATCACGAAAGTTTGACGTGGTGCGTGCGAAAGAGTCAATTAATTCCAGTATGGACGACAATATTTTATATTTGTCGTGACATACGTGTTTACGCTATAGCCGGAATCACAATACCGACACTATTATGCGTGTTGTATTATTTTCAAAAACTTGAACGATACTCGAAATGGGATTGGTATCGATTGGTGTTTGATGGTCTTTATGGTGCTCTTGGTTTCCCCTATACTTTCACCTCGGAAAGTCTTACCGTTCGGGTGATTATAGTTTTATTGTCATTTGCTGCATTGGTTTTTTCCACCGTAACCAGTACGGCAATCTTACTGTTGATAATGATACCAACTTTAAATCCGCAAATAAAAACCGTTCAGGAAATTATCAATGGACATTTTGAGCTGGTGGGTGATCGATTTGCTTTTGAAAAATTATTGGAATGGAATGAGGTACGATCAATCATCAATTATTGATGGAAAGCTTCGATTTTATGTTATTTTTATATTTAGACCTATCCAAGCAATCTTCTCACACTGTTCAAAGTGGTGAATCGTCCCGATGAATATCTTCACCAGCTCAAATGGAATGATAAACTAGCAGTCGCTGTTCCCTATGAACTCTCACGTTCACGCACCCAAATGGGAAACGATCAATTTAACGCTAGAAAAGATGTCTACTGCTTCGATCGTCGGAATAATATCTATGAATATCCACTGACAATGTTGGTCCGAAGGGATTTTACACTTATCAATGAATTCGATCGCTTTATAAAACATGCAAGTGAATGTGGTTTGATCGAAAAATGGTTGAATCAATATCGATCGCATGTCAAGGAGAAATTTCGAATAAGTTACAATTCGGTTCAAACCAATTATTTTCCTATAATGTACTCTTTTTATGGATTAATGTTACTCGCTGCGTTTTTAACATTCATTTTTGAACGAATCGTTTATGAAAAGGTGCACGCACCAAATGCACCACCATATTGGCGATTCATTGAAATGTCTATTGATCCATATCGATATTTTTTTCTCGACACTTTTGGATGGATTTCAGATAATTAGAAAACGCACCGTTTTATAAATTGAATATGTTTATCCTTCTTGTGGTCTCAAACGTAGATTATTCAGGTCTAATTCTATAGAAATACAACAAATGTGTGATATCTTTTTAATGGTGATGAATATTAAGATAAAAACTGCATTAAATCACGACTAATGTGTAAAAATAATATTCATTTTTCACAATAACAATAATAAACAAAAAAACATTGATGGTAAACCATGCTTTTTATTAAATTGCCAGCATTTTTCTAGTTTTCCACTAGTTTTTTCAGTGCTTTCGGTTGATAAAGTGGCAACTAAAATAGAGCCCATTTGTATATCGAAATGTTTCGATTTTTATTGTTCACACTGATTTTCGTATGCGGGCTTAAGCTTTTTGAGGCAAAATCTGGTCATAAAATCACAGTATTTGCATCTCAAATGAAACCATTTGTATTTTATGAAAATCAGTTGCTCAAAGGTCTAGATATTGTTATGATCGAACATTTTGCGAAAAAATTCCATCGAAATATCGAGTATATTGTCAAAAATGACACATTAAATACGGCAGAAGACGGTAAAAGATCAGCGAATAATCCGTAAGCTTTTTGCAATTTGAATGTCAATTGATAGCAAGTGTATGATTCAAAAGTGTGGAAAATTCATTCCCAAATGGCCGTTTCCAAATTATTTTACAGTAAAGTAGACATCTTCATCGGACCCATGGAAGAAAAATTGATAGAACATAGTCGTTTAATTGCATCTCGTCCATATTATCACGAAAGTTTGACGTGGTGCGTGCAAAAGAGTCAATTAATTCCAATATGGCGAACAGTCTTTCACTTATGCCGGTACAGATAATCAATTAATTCTATCGAAAGCTTTGATTGATTTTATGCATTTTCAAATCCAAAAATAGAGATCCGAAAGTTTTTATCGGGTTTTTTGTGGCAGCAGTGATATCATTATGTGTAATGTATTACTTTCAAAAACTTGAGCGACGGCCGAAATGGGATTGGCATCGTCTATTTTTTAATGGTTTCTATGGGTCACTTGGATTTCCATTAACGCTAACCTCTGCAAGAATTACTATTCGAGTGAATATAGCCTTTATATCATTCGCTACAATAATTTTTTCAACAATAATGAGTACGGTGATGTCAATCTTTGTAATGTTACCCACTTTAAATCCGCAAATAAAAAGCGTCCGAGAAATTATCGATGGACATTTTGAGCTGGTGGGTGATAGATTTACATTGAGAAAATTAACGCAATGGAATGAGGTACGAATTAAAGGATATTACTGGATGGCAAAGCTTTGATTTAATTGTTTTCGCTCTATTTAGACTTATCCAAAGAATTTTCTAATGCGATTCAAAGTGGTGAATCGTCCCGATGAATATCTTCACCAGCTCAAATGGAATGATAAACTAGCAGTCGCTGTTCCCTATGAACTCTCACGTTCACGCACCCAAATGGGAAACGATCAATTTAACGCTAGAAGAGATGTCTATTGTTTCGATCGTCGGAATAATATCTATGAATATCCACTGACAATGTTGGTCCGAAGGGATTTTACACTTCTTAATGAACTCGATCGCTTTATACAACATGCAAGTGAATGTGGTTTGATTGATAAATGGTTGAATCAATATCGATCGAATGGAAGGGAAAAATTTCAAATAAGTTATACTACTGTTCGAATAGAGTACTTCTATGTGTTATACACTATATCCTGTTTAATGTCATTTGCTGCAATTTTAACATTCATTGTTGAACGAATCGTATATGAAAAAGTGCGTACACCAAATGCATTACCGTACTGGCGATTCGTTGAAATGTACATTGATCCATATCGTTATTTATTCTTGGACACATTTGAATGGGCTACTTGAACATGTTCGAAACAGTATTTATTTTACTGATTCAACTTATAATATCTGAAAATCATGTCGCGAATCCATGTACAATTCATATTGGAATGACTTGGAAATAACGCTTTCTGATCGAAATCGAAAAACAAATGAGCTACTTTTGCATTTTAATCTCGAATATATGTAAACTTTAAATGAATAAAATGAAAAATGTTCTGGTTTACGTTTTGATTTAATAAGCATAGCTGATGGCCCCTCATGACACATGGGAACAATTGAACGCGTAAAATTAATAGCATGTAAATAAAGCTTCTTCGAAGTTGTGATGCTTTATTTCGCATGAATTTTGTTGCTTCAACTTGATCGAAGAGGAATTCATCAAATATGTTAGACATTTTGCCATGAAAAATCCTCTTCATAACTTTGTTCACCATATTAGCAAATTTGTTCAATTCATACAAAAAAGGAGGCTCATTTACCACTTTTGTACATAAATAATGTTCCTTTGGAAGAAAAAATTTTCAATAAGAATTAAAAAAGAGCAGGTAATGAAAACAATAAATCATTTTTATTTATTTTATTTTATCTTTCAACAAAGAGAGGATTAGTAGTGTCAAAAATGATATGGAAATTACATAATTCAAATGATGAACGTTGAAATGAAATAAGTAACTTTTGCTGTCATTATTTTATTGATGATTTGATATTGATACTAGACGGTTGAAGGAAGTAAATGTGACGATTTAATGTCTTATGTTAAATATTAATTCTTGTCACGATGAACGGTTTTCATGTGTCTCTTCGCATCAGCTTGCATTGCAAAGCAAGCGTCACATACGTCACATGGAAACGGCTTTTCTCCAGCATGATGACTTCGCATATGCCTCTTTAATTGATATGAATCTTGCTTTAAATCTCTACATAAGTAGCACTGATGTAGGCGACGATTGCAGCCTTCTTCATGTGTCCTCTAATCGCCTTCTTTGGCAAATGGTCGATAGCATTTGACGCAAGGGAACAGACGTTGTTTGGCATGTGTAGCTAAATGTTCTTTAAGTTGATGTTTCAGACAACATTTCTTTTAACAAACATCACATCGGAATGGTTTTTGACCCCAGTGTTTTAGTTGCATATGTTGTTTCAAATATGTTGTTTTTGACAAAAGATTGATATGGACAGAGGTAGCAATGACATGAATGACTTTATCTCTTAAATTTATTCCACTGAGTATGAACGCAATTATAATATTGGTTTGAATTTCTTGATTGCTTTATTAAGGAAAAAACGAGAAATAACATAAAGATTGACAAATTGGCACGTATTTGTTTTCACGGGAAGAATGATTTTCTTGAAAAAGTTAAAAATTTTGTTGTTGATTGATTGGTGTGTCTGTTCAAATGTTTTGTGTGCTGGACGAAGGTTTGATTAGCCGCAGTACGTGGGGTGTTGTTTTTCGGTAATTGTTGTCGATTGGTTGATCACTGATTGTTTTTAATAATTTGTGTGAAACCATTCAACAAAATCATCCATCAATACTGGCCACGCACCTTCAGCATCATAGTTGGCAATGTTGTCACCGATTTCCACTGCAAAGTCCAATAACATATTCCATGAGTCCTTCGAAATAGAGCGTTTGTGGTTGTTCTACCATAGGAGAGAGAGAGAGACGAAAAAGTCATTAGTAAAGGGTTGAAAAAAGAGTAAAAAAGCATGTAGAAAACAAGTTTGGTCGACTTACCTTCAAGAACTCGCACCATTGGTCAAGAAATTTGAATTGACCTGAAAGTAAAGAGAGAGTGACGGTATTTAATAAAAAAAGATCAATAATAATAATTCCATGTGAACTTTGGGCGACGCCTAATTACCTCTGAGCACAATATTCCAATATGCGATGGCCATTTCCAGATCGATGCATTTTTGCGTGTTATCTTTTGCATAGTTGAATGTAAAGTAATAAAAATCCTTGAATTTATTCGGATCGCGTAATTCATTTTCTAAAGCTGGTAATTTTGATCTCAAACCATCTATGCTATCTATTCCCAATTCAACGAAACCATTTACAAATTCCGATTTCGTGAATTCACATTGAGTTTCGGCGCGAAATTTCCATACAATGATCAAAACCAATTTTGATGTTGGATTGAGTCGTAAATCTTCCAAAAATCGACATACACCGTCGGGTGAGATTTTTGTCGGATCATACGGATTTTTGTATCGTCCAAATAGCTGTTCGACTTTTTCATGAACCACATTGTGATTGTATTCGCCCGTCTGCATATTGGCACGTCTCCACGGCATGTTCATCTGATCGCGTTGCGATGGCTTCCACTTGTTCTATGAAGGAGATCGAAAAAATGGTTTGGGTGAAAAAAGACAAATAATATTTTGATCACTATTGATTTTTGGTGACAAGTGCTTGTACCAAAATCACAAGTACTAACAATATTAATTAAAAATATTTGATTAAATTTGTTTTTTAGCTACTTACCATTTTGAATAATGAAAAATTTGTCTGGAAATTAGCAAAAATGTACTAGCTTTGATGGTAACACACAAAATGAAAACAATTCCTGAGCTGGGACGTTTAGTGCTTACTCTTTCGCTGCTGATGTTTCACTGTTTGCAAATTAACACAACACCCAAATATAACCAAAAAAATTTTAACAACCAACATGAAGTTGGTACTAATTAGTAATTACCAGTTGCATTAGTCTAATGAGGTTTCTTATGAGTTTCGATTCAATTTCGATGCTTCTTAAGTTGGCAATCTATGAGACTAATTTCAAAGTTTTGACATCCCTGGTCAGAAACTCTTTTGGAACATTTTTCACGATCAAATAATTAATGAACGAATCGGATCGAATGTTCATTATCACATCAAATATTCTATGAAATACGATTCACTTGAAATAATAGGCAATACAATGACATTATTTGTATCGTTTTAATGTTTAGTCAATTACAAACATTTTGTGGGCCAAATGAAACTCATTATATGCGGTTCGAAGTTATTTTCAGTTTTTATTCCTAAAAGAATCATCATACTCTCGATTGAAATGCCCATAACATTAACACTAGATTTATTGAAAAAGCCAAATCCCTTACCTAGTTAGCGGGAAACATGTTATTTTCGTATATAAGCACAACAAATATTCTAATGGATGGATATCTTTCAGGCGATTGATAATAAAGATAAGATAATAAATCCATTAAATTTCTTAATCACAACTAACGTAGAAAAACTACATTAATTTCGGAAAGAAATAGTAAACAAACTTTGTTTATTTTGTTTATTTGTTTTATTCGTGATTTCAACTAGTTTGGTCAGAGCCTTCGTTTGATAAAGTGGCAAATAAAATAAGTTCCCTTTGTATATCGAAATGTTTCGATTTTTATTGTTCACACTGATTTTCGTATTTGACCTTAAGCTTTTGGAGGCAAAATCTGCTCATAAAATCACAGTATTCGCATCCCAAATGAAACCATTCGTTTTTCATGAAAATCAGTCGCTCAAAGGTCTCGATATCGATATGATCGAACATTTTGCGAAAAAATTCCATCGAAATATCGAGTATATTGTCAAGAATGACACATTAAATACGGCAGAAAACGGTAAAAGATCTGCGAATAATCCGTAAGTTTTTTGCAATTTGAAAGACAAGTGTATGATTCAAAGGTCTGCAAAATTCATTCTGAAATGACCGTTTCAAAATATATTTTACAGTAAAATCGACATCTTCATCGGACCCATGGAAGAAAAATTGATAGAACATAGTCGTTTAATTGCATCTCGTCCATATTATCACGAAAGTTTGACGTGGTGTGTGCAAAAGAGTCAGCCCATTCCAGTATGGGAAATAATCCCTTACGTATTCGGTTTGAAAGTTATAGTTGCTTCTGTTGTAATTGGAATGATATCAATATGGGTGATGTATTACTTTCAAAAACTTGAGCGATGCCCGAAATGGGATTACATTCGTCTATTTTTTGATGGCTTATATGGTGCATTGGGATTTCCATTCACGTTCACCACTACAAGCATTACGATTCGAGTGAATTTAACTTTTCTATCAGTTGCTGCAATAATGTATTCAACAGTTTTTGGTACGGCTGTGGTAAGCTTAACAATGGCACCACCTCAAAATCTACAAATTAAATCTGTTCGAGAGATTATCGATGGAAATTTCGATTTAATCGGTGATAAATTCTCATTTGAAAAATTAACACAATGGAACGAGGTACGATATTACTGGTTGGATAGCAAAGCTTCATAGCTTCAATGTTATGTTATTTTTATATTTAGACCTATCCAAGCAATCTTCTCACACGGTTCCAAGTGGTGACTCGTCCCGATGAATATCTTCGCCAGCTCAAATGGAATGACAAACTAGCAGTCGCCGCTCCCTATGAACTCTCACGTTCACGCACACAAATAAGAAACGATTAATTTGACGCTAGAAAGGATGTCTACTGCTTCGATCGTCGGAATAATTTTTATGAATATCCACTGAAAATGTGGGTTCGAAAGGACTTTCCACTTATTAATGAACTCAATCGCTTTATACAACATGCAAGTGAATGTGGTTTGATCGAAAAATGGTTGAATGAATATCGATCGCATGGAAAGGAAAAATTTCAAATACAATCAAAAACCGTTCAAACGGAATTTTTCTATCTTGTGTACTGTGTTTACATGTTAATGACATTAACGGCATTTTTAACTTTCATTTGTGAGCGAATCATTTACAGAAAAGTGCATATATTATCTTCGTCTCCATATTGGCGATTTATTGAAATGTGCATCGATCCATATCGCTACTTTTTCTTAGACACTTTTGAATGGATTAGTTAGAGTTTTTCAAGTAAAAGCCGAATGAAAAATTATTTAGTGACTAGATTGAAGTAATTATTAAGTATAATTGATATAACTCAATCACAGATGGCTATAGTCAAATTAGTCGTGTGTTTAAAATCAGAAAAATAGACGACTAAAGCCGATTGGGTAGGTTTTAGTTGACAAAATTCATTTTCAGTTGATTTCAGCTAGTCAGTCGCTATTTTCCACATGGGAAATTTTGGTCGTATTTTCTTTTTACTCTCTATCAGAGGTCGCAACTCCGACCGACCGCCGGTCCCGACTGAAAGTTTCTATAGTTTTGAATATAAATTAAGAGATAAATGGTGTGCAATTTGAATTTTGGTTATCATATAACGTTTTTATCAATTTCGAAACTAAGGAATAAAAAATATGCATCGCTTTTGTGTGTGCATTAAAGATTTATTGAATTTTTCTTTTCTTTTTAATGATTACAATATTCGTATTCAATTAATTCTTGTTCACAAATAATATGCTGCTTAAGATTGCACGGAGCATTATTCCAACCTTTGCCCTTTTCAAGAATTTGGATACAATTCACATCATTTTCATTAAAATTGTCTGGTTTGCCTGAAAACCAATCACTAAATCCTACTCGTTTACCGATGCCCAACCATTTATACGAATTATCGGGCAATTTTGTTCCTGATGTCCAAAATTGTCCGAATTCTATGTGTCCTATTTAAAGAAAAATTGATAATCATATAGCGTATTTTCAACCATTTCAACACAAAATTTCTCCGGATTTACCTTCATCAATAATTTGCTGTTTAATTTGATCATTTTCTGCTTTTGATGAAATGCTTACCAAATTCATATCAATGGAACGACAGTGATAAAATGCCTTGAAAAAATTGCCCAATCAAAAATAAATACTTGCCCAATAAATACAAATAAATACTTGCCTCGTGCCATGTAACCTGTAAATATTTGGAATCAAACATTTTTTTTATTATCAATTCGATCACAATTTATATATACTTTTCTAGAACACTTGCCGTTTTCAATGTTATAATGAAATACTTTTTAGTCATTTTATGTTTCGGATAAAACATTTGCCCAAATATAGGTGCTAATAAGCCATGATGATTTTAGAAGATTTCAAATAAAGTCAAATATTGTAAATTGATTTTTTTATTTTACTTCACGTTTGAGATTTTGACAGCTTACCGATTAACACGAAGAGGAGAAAAGTTGAAATTATACTTTGATTCATTTTTAGATGAATAAAATTAAAGCGATGTGAACACTTTTCAATTTGTATTCAACAGTTGAATTTCAACTATTTGCATCAAATTTTAGCTCGTTTTTTGAATTTACACCAAACGTAACGAACGATTCAAGTTTGATGTTATGACTGGCCTTTATTTGATACGACCAGCCAGATATATATAAATATTGATAAAGTTTAAACAAATTCAAGCACCCAAAGTGCTCGGGGTTTTTACACCGTGTGTGAGTTACAAAAACATGAAATATAATACGAAGAAATACAGACACATGTGTGAGTGTACTATATGTACACTTCATGCCTTCAGTCTTATTCTTTATTCGCTCCGTATTTTGTTTCTCGGTTTTATAACTGACGCAAGGTATGAAAATCCCCGGCGAACAGTGCAATTTGAGTGCTTGAGAAGTGTCGCCAATTCATAGAGATATAATTTTTTTTTATTGTATGTGTTTTATGTTTTTGAATTCACTCATGGATTCGTACAATATTCGTATTCAATTAAATTTTGTTCACAAATAAAATTCAAAAGAGAACTACACGGAGCATCATTCCATTTTTGAGCATTTTGTGATCCCCAAATGTTGCCAATAATATGTATACAAGCCTCCTCCTGTTTATAATTTTCTGGTTGACCAGGTGACCAATTAAAAAATGTGAATTTTTTGCCGGTGCTCATCCATTCGCACGTAACATCATCGCTTAATTTTGTGCCCGATGTCCAAAAGTGGCTTTCTTCGTAACCTGTTCAAGAGATTGATCAATATTATGGGTGCCAAAATTAATGATATTATTTAAATGATATTTACGAATTTTTGAAACGTTTATTGTCTGTTGATCACGTGGTGCGTTAATGCATGGCACGTGCAACATATACTTGATAAGAAGTCATATGACTAACAGAGAATGCCGAGTGTGTTTGCAAAAGTTCAAAAATGTATACACGGACGATAAGGGCACATATGAGGGGTTCCGAGCAAAGCTAATTGGTACCAAATAGCTCAGCTAAAGCTATTTGGTATCAGTTTTTTGGGCATATTACAAATTGTTTCCTTTCCTCCTATTCTTCTTCGTCATGATGACGGGTTAAGTTTTTGAGATTTATAGTCGGTATTACCTTCGTCTTTAATTTGCTGTAAAATTTGGTCGTTTTCTTCTTTTGATCTAGACCAGACAAATGCCAAGGGAACGACAATGCGAGGATGCTTTGAACCAATTCACAGTTTTCAATGTCATGAGATGATAACGTTTGGTGATTTTATGCTTTGGATAGAACATATGTCCAATTATCGGTGCTATAACTATTGAAGATTTGGGAAAAATTCAGTTTTTTATAGTGATTTAGTTTTTGATAATTTCACACATACCGATTAATGCAAACAGCAAAATACTTGCTGTAAATTGTTTTGGCTTCATTTTCAGTTAAATAAAAGAATCGGT